GTGGCACATGCCTGTAATCCCAGAGGCTCTGGAGGCTGAGGCAGGAGGATCGCAAGTTCAAAGACAGCCTTAGCAATGGTGAAGCACTGAGCAATTCAGTGAGACCCTGTCTCTAAATAAAATACAAAATAGGGCTGGGGATATGGCTCAGTGGTTGAGTGCCCCTGAGTTCAATTCCTGGTACTAATAAATAAATAAAATAAAAGGGGCACAGGATGTGGCTCAGTGTGGCTTGGGGTCTAATCTCCAGTACCAAAAAAAAAAAAAGAGTCACCAGGCTGGTCCAAAACCAAGGGGTGGGGAATTAGACCCCCAACTTTTGTAGGAGGCATGCCATAGACTTCATGAACATTTTATTTATTTATTTACTTATTAACAGGGAGGCACCACCATACCTGGTAAATTTTTTAAAGCCATCACATGAAAGAAGAAAGTCAAAAAGAAAGAAAAGGCAGAGTCCAACGCAGAAAAAAACATAAGTGAAGAAAATTCCTGGTCTAGGGGTGTAGCTTAGAGGTAAAGCACTGGCCCAGCATGTGTGAGGCCCTGGGTTTGACCCCCAGCACTGCACGGACAGGCACATAAGAGAGAAAATTCTGCAGAAATACTTCAGCCTATGGAACAACTTAATGAAAGACATGCATCCAAATAAACCAATAACTGCAATAAATGTAAAAGGATTAAATTATCCTAGTAATAGACTAAAGATCACAAGATGGATTTAAAAAGAAAAGCCAGGTACAGTGATCCATGCCTGTAATCCCAGCTACTCAGGAGGCTGAGGCAGGAGGATTCCCAAATTTGAGGCCAGCCTGGGCAATTTATTGAGACCCTGACTCAAATTAAAAAAAAAAAATTAATAGGGTTGTAGATGTAGTTCAGGGGTGAAGCGCTGGGTGTTGCTCCTCTGTACCACAAAACAAATAAATAAAGAGAATACAGTACTTGTGACTTACCATAGATACAATAAAAAACAAATAAAAAAGAAAAAAAATATGAAAGGCATCTATCAATCAAAAATGAATAAATAAATGCTAGCATAGCAATATTAACATCAAACTAGAATTTAGGGCAAAACCAAATAACACAAGATAAATCAAAGAAGAGACACTGCTTAATGAGAGGAAATCCACCAAAAAAGAATGTTTTTTACTTATTGAACTGGGATCTGCAATCAGTTTCCTGAGCCAGGCACACCTGTAATGCACACCTGTGATCCCAGCAACTCAGAAGACTGAGGCAGAAGGATCATAAAGTCTACTCCAGCCTGGGCAACTTAGCAAGATCCTGTCTCACAATTAAAAGAATTTTTTTGTTTTGTTTTGTTTTTTAAGTGTTAAGATTTTTAGAAATCAAAATATTTATTCACATAATTTTAAACTAAAGTCAAAGCTAATCATATTCTATGGTAATGATTTAAGTGCAAGTGATGCAGTTTTCACATTTGTTTCCTTCAGAGAAAAGGCAGATAGATCAGTTGTTCTTGAATAAGTCAATGCAGCTCTGCAAGAGGGAGACATTTTTTCCTAAAAAAAAGGGCTGGAGATATAGCTCAGTAGTAAAATGTGCCTGTGTTCAACCTCCAGAATTAAAAATGTGCCTGTGTTCAACCTCCAGAATTAAAAAAAAAAAAAATTCCCAAAATACCATCTTTACTGCATGTAATAACTCTGAACCTTCCATTCTACTTCTCCATGTATACAGAACCATGAGCCACCATCTCCTGACTGACTGCTCAACCCACTAAATGTGTTTACCCTTACTTGTAAACCTAAGCAAGAAGTTGCACTGATCACTGATAGCTAGTGTCCTAACTTTTCCTTTGGTACCAGGGATCAAACCCAGGGGCACTTAACCATTGAGCCACATACCCAGCATCCCCCATGCCTTTTTTTTTTTTTAAATTGTGAGACAGGGTCTTGCGAAGTTGCTTAGGGCCTCACTAAGTTGCCTAGGCTGGCTTTGAACTTGCAATCCTCCTGCCTCGGCCTCCTGAGCTGCTGGGATTATAGGCATGACCACCGCACAAGGCTAGTATCCTATTAAATGTATAAAGCACTCATTTAATCTATAGATTTGAGGCAATCCCAGCAAATTGTCTTGAGTATGCCAACAAAGTGATCATAGGCTTTACACAGACAAAAGACAGAGGACAGAAGCTACTCAACTTTGAGACTTAATATAAAGCTCTAGTGATCAAAACAGTATGGTAAAAAAATAGATAAATACATGACCATAAATACATGGTCAAGTAGAACAGAGACTCCTGGAACAGACCCACATAATACAGTTGACTGATCTTTGACAAAGGAGCAAAAGAAATGCAATAGGAAAAAAAAAAAAAGACTCCTTTTTTAGCAAAAGAGTGCTGAACAAGTGGACATCCACAAAAACCACAATGGCAGGCTGGGGTTGTGGCTCAGAGGTAGAATGCTCGCCTACCATCCATGAGGAACTGGATTTGATCCTCAGCATCACATAGAAATAAAATACAGATATTGTGTCCACCTATAACTAAAAAAAATATATTTAAAAAAACCCCCACAATGGCGAGGACATAGGCACAAACCTGGCCTTCCACGAGATCACTCAGGATGGGCCATGCAGCCAAGTGTGAGACGCCAAACTGGAAAGCTCCAAGAAGAGGGCTGGGGTTAGCTCAGTGGCAAAGCCTGCCTAGAAAATGCAAGGACATGGGTTTGATCCTCAGTATCACAAAAAAGGGATGGGACTTTATTTTTCCCTGTGAAAGATGAGGACATCTTTCATAAGAGAATGAGGACAAGCCACAGCCTGGAAGAAAATGCTTGTAAAAGACATAGCTGATAAAGTACTAATATACAAAACACATGAATTAAAACCAACCAACCAACCTCCTAAAACTTAAAAAACTCAACGATAAAAGCAGGAGGATCATTTGATCAGGAGTCTGAGGTCAGCCTGGAGGTACAGGGAGACCCCATCTCAAGATTAAAAACAAAAACCTGCAACCCAGAACAAAACAAGTCAGCAATAAGAAAATGAAACTGGGGACTGGGGCTGGGGCTCAGTGATAGAGTACTCACCTAGCACGTGCGAGGCCCTGGGTTCGATCCTTAGCACCACATATAAATAAATAAATATGTACTGTGTCCGACTATAACATATATATAAACAAAAGGCAAAAGGCCCGCCTGAACAGGCACCTCCCAGAGGTGTGCAGAGCAGCAAGCACACAGAGGCCTCCATAAAGAAGCGTGCAGAGTAGCACATAGAGGCCTCCACAAAGGTCACTGGGGATGCAGAGCAGAGCAGCAGCAGGAGCCCCCTCCACACCTGACACATGGCCCCCACTCCTGGGAGCGCCACTGCATGGCATCTGCATCTGGGAGGGTGCACCATAGTGCGGTCACTCTGGAAGGTAGGTTGCAAGCCAGCAGTCACATTCCTTGGCATTTACTCCAAGGAGTTGAAGACCACAGCCACACAAAAACCTGCACATGGTTGTTTACAGCAGCTTTATTCCCAGCAGCCAAAACCTGGTAACAGCCTAGGTGTCCTTTGAGAGGGCATGGACAAGTAGACTGTGGCCCACCCAGACAGTGGACCCTCACTCAGTGCCAGCCCCATGGGGACTCTGTATTCTATGGCTCTGAAGCCCTGGTGAGACAGGCAGCTACTGCTTAGTCCTCCACTCCTGTGTCCTTGACCTTGAGTGGCCATTGCTGAAGTGATCCCCAGGGACGTCCCCTTGGTAGGAACAAGCCCAGAGCCAACAATTCTGAGCTTATACATTCACATTCTGCAGCTGTGAACCCTGAGTATCAGAAGTAGATATCACAGGGCACTACTAAGGGTACAGTCCTGGCAGGGTCAGCATTTGAATGACAAAGAGAGGCCACAACATGGAGAATGGGCAGTGGGGAGTGTGCGCTAGAGGCTAGAGCAGGGAAGAGGTCATCTTAGCCTGAAAAGAGGCAGAGCAGGGTGCATCTCCAAGGGCACTGGCAGAGAGGGGGCCTGAAGCTGGGCAAGTGGTGCTGCCCTCCCCAGAGACGAGCAACAAGAAGGAGCAGATTCAGGGTAGAAAATAAAGCAGCACTTCTGTCTTAGAGCCACTGAATCCAAGGTGCCTAGAGATGTCATGGGGAGGGAGGCCACCAAGGCCATAGCACATTCATTAGCTTTTTTTGGTACTGGAGATTGAACCAAGGGATGCTTTACCACTGGGCTGCACCCCCAGCCCTTTTTATTTACTTTTTATGTATACACCTTTTTTGTGGTGCTGGGAATGAACCCAAAGCCTCATGCACACCGGGCATGTGTTCTACCCCCGAGTTCTGTTCCTAGCCCCAGCACCACCACCCCCTAGCAGCTGGGATCAGATATGTGCCACTGTGCCCAGCACTTTGCTGCTGCAGACATGTGCATGCAGAGAAGCTCCAGGTCTGGAGAACAGGTCTTTGGATTGGGACCCTGAGGGACTGCCCACTTTCAAGGCACATGCTCTTCTGTCTCCCACAGCACTGGCCTCTCCACACAGGGGTTTTATGGGTGGTGTTGGGATTTTCTGGGTGGTGGTGGGGTGTGAACCTGTGGAGCCCTGGGACACGGGGCCAGGGAGGTGTGGGGGCACTGGAGAAAGAGCAAGGAGGAGATGACCAGCTTGAAGGGCCCCTGGTGGAGGCATGGCTTCTCCAGCAGGACCCTTGCTGTGTTCAGCGCAGCCCTGCTGCTCAAAAGCTATCCTCTGAGGCAGCAGAGACACTGGCACAGAGACTGTCCTGGTCCATGTCAGACCTGCAGAAAACCCACCCCGCTCCACAGGAAGGGTGACACCAAATGGCGCCTGGTGTTGTTATGAAAATGCTTGACTCAAGAACCCCTGACCACATGTGAAAGGACTTAGCAGGTGTCTGTGAGGAGCCCAAGATAGGATGGCCCTGTCCACCATGGGGGTGGGGGCATTTTCATAAACTCATTCCCTCCACAGCCTGCCATTCCCAGAGCCAGACACAGAATTAATGAAAAAGGTTTTTATTTTATGTCAAAGTACCAAGCAGATACTTGCAAAACATAGAAAGTGAAACTCAAGCAATGCCCTTCCCCAGGTGCCTCTGGGCATGCACTGAGCTCACGCCCTCTGCAGAAACCAAATCCAGTCCCATTTCCTCAGAAAACTAAACTGAAGGCAGCCACTGGATACACCCTGGCCAGCCTTGAGGAGCAGTGGGAGGCCCAAACACCCTCCCACCCCCCAAGCAACCAGCAGGCCCTGCAGGAGCCAGGGGGGTGAGCAAGCCCTCCACCCACAGTGAGATGGGTTCCTGTGGGAGGGGCTGGTGGCAGATGGCTGAGGGCAGTCTGGGGCACCATGAGAAAGGGAAGTTGGTCTGGGGCTTATGTATATGGCTCTGAAGGTAACTGAACCTTCCAGTGCCTCCGTGGACGGAGAGGCAGGGGCTGAAACAGTCCCACCTGAATCTTACAGAGGGAAAATGCTCTACAGCCGGAAAGGCAGGCAGAGAGCATGGCAGATGCCGGCCAAGGGAAGTCCCATAGGTCCCCACCAGTGACACCATGTCTCACATTGCCTGAGCTGCTGGGCCATGCCCACACCTGCATCCTCCTGAGGCCCACAAGGTCATGCTGCCCCATGTCACAGAACTTGAAACTCAAATAAAAATGAGTTTAAAAAAAAGGAGTATGTACACAAATAGATAAACATCACGCCAAAACCAGCTGATTCCTAAGAGCAAACAAGGATGTAACAGAAAGAAAATAAGAAACAGAACTGTAGCTTGACGTGGGGCCCTGGTCAAAACAAAGGTGTAAAGGTTGGGTCTGGGCACTTAGTGGGATGGATGGACAGAGAGAGGGACAGCTAGTTCCTTTCAAAGCAGCAAAGAGGGACTGCAGCCTTCTCTTGCTGTGGGGTTCTTGGCCAACAACCACTAGAAGGGTCTGTGGATAACTGGCCCCAGGGATTATCCCACTTCCTGAAATGTCTAGCTCCAGAGGCTCTGGCCTGGAGGACAGCCCCCTGCTTGGTCTTCCTCGAGATCCCAAACACTGATCTGCAAACTGTCAACAGACAGCCCTTCATGGAACATCTTGGGCCCCATGTCCCCCAACTGGCCTGCTCTATGCTCTGGGGGTCCCAACAGCTGACTGCACACAGGGGCCATCTCAGCACCCCCAAGTCTGAAGGAACACCCCTGTCAAATCCCACAAAGAGCCTCATCTTGGGGAGGGACACTGCCCAGGAACTCCAGCACCTGGCCAGGTGCATACACAAGTGCTCCAGGCCCATTCCAGAGCTGCCTTGGGAAGCCTAGGCACTCAGCATTGTTTTGGTTGAAAATGCTACAAATTTGATTCTTCCTGGAAGCCTACTCAGCAATTCACTTAAAAACACCTGTAGCACGTGATCAATGGCTCCTGACCCTGCCTGGTACGCCTGGGTGCCCCATCTAAGCACCTGGGGTGGGGGCAGGTGCTGCCCGGGGCCTGCATCTTGGCCTCCAGGGTGCACATTCCCACACAGGCAGAGGAGTGGGGCGTGGCCACACTAACCCTACAGAAAACTGTGGGAAGAAACCAAATCCATAGGATCCATGGGTTTCCACACTTGGGTACAGTTCCCAAGACATGTGTTAGTAATGTCCCCCGAGACGACGCGTGGGCACCAGGACCTCAGTGACTTGGCGGGCTCTGGCACTACCAGCACCTTCAGGGTCTCAGGCACCTGCAGCCCTGACTCTGCTGCCTGCACCTGGCTGCACCCAGATGCACTCCTCCTGGCCACTGTTCCCCTGGCTCCTGCTCAAGGCCCAATGTGTAAACAGTATCAACAAGCAACAGGTGGAAAGTCTATTTCCCAAGAGAAAAGGGGAGGAAGTTTGGACTTGAAGACCCATCTTCCAGGTTGCTGGCATCTGTCTTCTCATTTGCCTAGTGATGCCTCTCTTTGGTTCAGCCCACTAGACCTGCCTGTGCTGAGCCAGCCCCATGGCCTCTGCCTGCAGCGGCCTGAGGAGAGGCAGCCAGCTCCACCCGCCCTGAGGGGCCTCACCCTCCCAGGACATACCCTGCAAGAGGCCTAGGCTCCTGGCTACTTCTGCTCATGGTCCTCTGCCACAGCAGCCACCTCAATGGTGGTTGTGTGTTCCTCAGGCCCTGGGGCCGTGGCAGTGGGCACTGTCACTATTGTGCTGCCTGCAGGTGACGCCTGAGCCACATTCTGCAGGGTGGGGCCCAGGCTGGGAAGCGTGAGCAGTTGCAGCGGACTGACCACCTTCAGCACGGTGCTGCCGTCCTGCATGGCTGCTGTACTTAGGACTGTGAGGCTGGATGCGTCCGGGTGGATCTCCACTGTGCTGGGGAAGCTGGAGCCCGAGGAGGCCAGGACTGTGTAGCCACCGAGCAGCGGCGAGGCTGGCGAGCTGGCTGGTGGAGCCTGAGGAGAGCCCTTGCCCAGGACAGCCGAGGGCAGCGTGGATACCACTTTACCAAGTGGCACACTGGCCAGCTGGGGCACAGGCACACCTGGGCCGAGGGCAATCTGCGCAGACTGGGTGAGCACCTGCGAGGCCACAGCAGCTGGTCCAGACGTGGCTCGTGCAAGCCGAGGCCGCTTGGCAGGGGGTGGCAGGGGCACAGGTGTGAGTGTCATGAGCACATTGCTGAGGTGCTGGGATTTGTGCTTCAGTTCCCGGGCACGGCGCCGATGCTCGTCACACTGCTGCTCCAGGGCTGCAGGGACACAAATGTCACCACAAGGTAGCCCAGGAGCCAGACACCCAGGGCCCCCTGCCTAAGGTGAGGCCAGCAGAGGGGACAACCAGGGCCACTGCTCCCAGGTAAAGGCTGTGTGCCAGGCAGTCTCTGCAGGCAAAGCTGCCCTTGGGGCCAAGTAAGCCTATTCACACTCATGTGCAGTGTACACACAAAGGACCACAAGAGCAGGAGCTGGAAGCAGATGCAGAGGACCCAAGACTCATCTGCTGGTGGCAGGGTGGCCCGCCCTTTTCTCTCCACTTCTCTTAAATAGCCACTTGGCCTTGCAGGAGGTCGGTAGGCGCTGTGACCTCTGCCTCCAGTCTGGAGGTCTAAGGACCATGGCTGTTGAGTTTTACTGACTCCTGTATGATGCCTATGTCCTCACTTGCCAGGCCCCAGAAGAAAAGCTCACATGCACAGCTATAACAGAGAGAAGCCCAGAGGTAGCCATGGAGACCCCAATCCCCCCATCTGTTGCTGGTGTACCTGCCAGGTCCCGGGCGTACTGCTCCCGAGAGCGGTCCATTTGACACTTGTGGCTGGCCAGCACCTTCTTTACTAGGTCCAGCATGCCAAAGTTCTGTACAATGTTGTTGAGGAGGACAGCATCTGAAAGGAGCAATGCAGGCACTTGGTGAACACCTAGGCCCCATCCAGCCCATTCAGAGGCCAGCTCCTCAGGGCTGCATTGGCAGGAGCCAGCTCCACAGATGTCTAGAACACAGGCTGCGCACCCCCCGCCCCAGTCCCCTCAGCACAGCAGGTCCTGTGTGTAGGCTGGGCCTCTCCCAGCTACACAGCAGGGCCTAGGGGAACCAGCAAGGGGGCAGCTCAATCTCCCTTACCTCGGAGCTGCAGGGGAGGGTCCTGTACCCTCTGCTGCAGGCCTTTCATAGTTTCCTCCAGTTCCTGCTGGAATTCTTGAATGACCTCATCCAGCAGGCCAGCATCCTTTAGCCCCCGCCAGAAGGCAAATGTGTCATCTGTTGGGGAAGAAGAGGTAGAGTGAGCAGGAAGAGGTTGGGTGAGTAGTAAGAGCACTGCTGCCCTGGACAGCCATAAGGACACTGCCCAGGGAGGTCAGGGCATGTTACAGCCCATGTCTAACAGGCCAGTGGCTGAACTCTGTCTTAACCACCACCCCCCACCCCCCCGCTGGGACAATAATGGCCAGAGTACGGATGACAGCTTCCCCACTATGTGCACTTGTGAAAGCCTACAGGGACATACCTCCAATGGCTGTGGTCCAGTCGCTGGGGTCCTCACATGTCTCTATGGTGATGGTGGCAGGAGAGCCATTCACTACGAGTAGAGTGGAGCCATGGTGAGTGTGACGTGGGGCAGCTCCCACACCTGGAGGTCCTGCCTCCCTCCCAAGGCTGTGCCTGACTAGAGGAACCAAAGGACCCCCTGCCTTATGTCCGGGTTACTTGAATGACTTCTTTGAACATACACACAGGACAAAGAACAGGAAACAGCCCTCCACCTATCACTGTGTGATTCGATGCAGGGGCTGGTGGAGATTCCTGCCCATCTGGCCCCACAGATGGGTGTGGAACCAGTCACCCTAGCTTTCTCTTTACCACTGTCTATCTTTCATTATGCCACCATGATCTTAACATGAATCAATCATATTTCTACTTTTCTAAATCAAGAAAGACAAGTCATCTATTCTGGCTTGTCCCAAGTACATTTCCAGTAGCTACAAACCCTAACTGTCTGTAGTTTGTATTTGCGTCCTGGAGTTTCCAACAGGCTTCAGGACCAGGCCTGGCTAAGAAGCAGACCCAGAAACAGACGGATGTTTTGGTAACTTTCCAGCCTATGCCAGCTCTGCCCTCATCAAAGATATGTTGGAATCAAGTGAGGCATGAGCCAACACTTGTCATGGCTTGGGCAGGTGTACCACCTTTCTCTGACTACCCAGAGACAAGCCAAAGGTTCTCAGAGGTTCAGGCTAAAGCAGCCCAGATATACCTTGTCCCTGACTGTGCCTTTCTTGGGTGGAACAGACATAAGTAAAGGGGTGCCCACCTATCCTGGCTGATCACCCACAGCCCACTTTAATAAGGCAGGGCAGAGAGTCTGAGCCAAGCCCTGGGTATGCTGCCTAGGATGCTGACTACATGCCTCCTCATGCTTGCCAGACTTCAAACATCTGGCCTGGAGCTGTGGTCCAGGAAAGGGCTTAGCAGAAGGTACCCTCAGAATGTTGCAAACTGTAGCCACTAACCAAGGAAAGGCTGGCAATAGCCAGCTCCCGATCACCACAAGCAGCGTCCCTGTGCTGCTCAGGACTCAGCCCATCTACCAGGCAGAACATAGAGAAGGAGGTGGGTAACAACAAGGCCTCAGGCCACCATGGGCCCCATTCTCCAACCAGGGACCACTGAAGCCCCTACCATCAGCCCATCTGGAATGAATGACAGGACCACCCCATCACACAGGAGCTTACTCCACCCAATGCCATGGAGTGACAACTTAGGCATAGCAAGAGACAGTGCTAGAAAGAAAGCACTGCCAGACATTGCTAGGTAACATGATGGGGACTCGGGACCCAACCTTGATACAGCCTTGGTTTAAGAAGACTTTCTCAAATCAGGCACGGCGGCTATGCCTGTCATCCGAGGCTGAGATAGGAGAATCACAAGTTTTAGGCCAGCCTCAGCAACTTAACAAGACACTGTCTAAAAATAAAAAGGACAGCTCAGTGATATGCCCTGTATTCAATCTCCAGAACCAAAAAAAAAAAGGAATGAAGAAAAATAAAATCTCAGAATAAAATAAAAAGGGCTTGGGGTGGGGATGTAGCTGAGAGGCCTGGTTCAATCCCCAAGCACGAGAAGGAGGGAGGAGGAGGAGGGAGGAG